AACCGTGAGTCCAATTCGTCTGTTAAAGATATTTGTGCGAGTCCATACCAGTCGTCGCATGTTCTCGGTCTTAAGTGGGATCACGTAAAAGATACCTTTGTCGTTAGTAGAGGGGTTGATCGTCCACTAGACAAAGCAATCACTCAGCGTACTGTGTTAAGTTTTGTTTCCTCTGTTTTTGATCCAATTGGGTTAGTGGCTCCGTATACCGTGAAGGCTCGCCTTCTATTAAAAGATATCTGGCGAATCAGCGGTCAAAAATGGGATGATGATCTGCCAGAGGAAATCAAAAAACAATTCCTTGAGTGGCACTCAGGTCTTCATTTGTTAGGTTCTCTGACAATACCTCGCAGCTATTTCACTGAACCTTTCGACCGAATAGAACTTCTTATGTTCGGTGATAGTTCGCAGGATGTTTTCTGTGCCGTCGCTTTCCTTCGTGCGCGACTTGTTAGCTCCCATCAGACCGAATTAGCCTTTGTGTTTGGCAAAGCCCGCGTCGCGCCTATGAAAGCGCTTTCTATTCCAAAGTTAGAGTTTCAAGCGGCTCTTCTTGCAACCCGCTTAAAGGAAGAAATTTTGAAAGGTCTTGATTTCAAAGTTACGGATATTTTCATGTGGACAGATAGTACCACTGTTCTTCAGTGGCTTCACTCTTGTAGTAAACTACCCGTTTTTGTTGGTAATCGCACTGGTGAGATTCTGGAGTCTACCAGCACTGATCAGTGGCATCACATACTTAGCGGTGATAACCCAGCTGATACCGGTATACGAGGGATTTCTTCGGAAGCCCTCAAGGAAAGCAGCTGGGTTAATGGCCCTAGTATATTGAGAACAACTGATTGGCCGTTCAAGTCCAATACAAGGGTTATCGATAAAGTAAGACTCAAAGGACTATCATGTGATATCGACATTTGTCTGAAAAATTCGTCAAATTTCGTCGTCGATGTTTTGACAGAAAAAACCTTCCCTTCGGAAAATGGGAGAGATTCAATTCAATTGTAAAATACAAACGCGCAGTAGCATTTTTGTTAAGATGGCTGCCATCCCATAAACATTTCCGGTCGAGTATATTAGAAATTACAGACCCGTCTGAAATGGATATTGCTGAACAGAAGCTCATTTACCTGTCCCAGGGTGAAACATTCCCTAGTGAGCTAAAACTACTAAGATCCGGTAAGGTTATCACGAGGAAAAGTCGGATCGCCAAGTATTCGCCGTTCATTGGACCAGCTGGCATTCTTCGCTCGACTGGGCGCATCAGCCGCTTGGTTATTTCCGATTTCGATAGCAAGCATCCGATTATACTTGATGCACGTCACGCGGTTGTTCGGTTATAGGTTCAGCACTTGCACGTTAGGAATTTCCATCAAGGCTTGGATTACATGCGTGCGGTGGTTAGTTTGAAGTACGTTGTGTTAAATTTGCGATGGTTGCTGCGAAACATTGAAAATACTTGCGTTTCTTGCCGAAAACGCAAAGCGCAAACAGTAACTCATGTTATGGCTGATCTGCCCATTGAAAGGCTGGGTTACAAGCAACCTCCTTTCTCTAACACAGGTGTCGACTACTTTGGGCCGTTCCTAGTTCCAATCCGGAGAAGTACGGAAAAGAGGTGGGGATTTTTGTTCACCTGTCTCACCACTAGAGCGGTGCACATTGAAGTGGTCCCCTCGCTCGACACCAGCTTTTGTGTGATGGGCGTGGAGAGGTTTTTTGCACGTCGCGGTACTCCGATTACTATCATGTCCGACAACGGCACGAACTTTGTTGGCGCTCAGAAAGAGCTCTTAGCTTGCGTTGAGAGTTGGAACAAGCTCGCACCCGCTGTTTTTGTTCAGAAAGGGATCAAGTGGAAATTCAATCCACCCAGCGCACCGCACCATGGTGGCTCCTGGGAGCGATTAGTTCGGAGTGTCAAGCGCGTTTTATATGACATCTTAGGCAATAGAAGAGTAACTGAGGAGGTGCTAAGAACCACGCTGTACCTTGTTGAGCAATCACTCAACGCTAGACCGATAACAGCCGTTAGTTCCGATCCGCTAGATCTAGAGGCGTTGACCCCGAATCATTTTATCCTTGGTCAACACGCAGCGAGTTTTCCGTCGCTAAGTTTCGAAGAAGCGGTTCGCCAGAGCGGTTCGCCAGAGCGCAATCATACGCTAACGCAATATAGACACGGTGGATGCGGGAATACGTTCCTTCCCTCAATAGGAGGGCAAAGTGGCACAACCAGTCAGACGTTAAGTTGAAAGCCGGCGACTTGGTTTGGGTCATAGAGCCTGACACTCCACGTGGACATTATCCACTCGCACGTGTTCTAAGACTGCACTATGGCAAGGACGGATGCGCGAGATCCGCCGATATAAATACCGTTACGAGCGAACTGACCCGCCCGACCGTAAAGCTCGCTCACGTTCTTCCTTGTTTAGGGGTGGAGGATGTTGCAGCGCAAATATAAAACAATAGTATAAATGCATATAAAACTGAACCAAAATATAAATGCATTTAGGGACAGTAGCCAAGTGTATACATGGTGCGTCCCGGCGGGTTCGGCGCCGGTTCGAATCCCCACTAGGTCATTTCCTTTCTAGAACTCGAATATGCACCATACTTGATGGGATGCTCCGTAACAATGTTCGAACCCCCCCCCAAACCTATTTTAACCGTCTTTTCGCTCTAATTTGGTTCAGCCTTTGGTTCTCAAGGACAAATACTGGCCACTTTTGCAGCTTGCTTTGAGTTATGCAGTGTTTTGGGTCCGATCTTACCGATGATGAAATACCTTTTGAAAACTGTAAAATTATGGATTTCCAGTGTTAATTTTGCCGAGAAAACGCTCTGTAATTCAACTGTTTAAAAGCCAATTTTTTTACGATTCAGTTTGTGGAGATTTACGCGCACATTTTGTTAGGTTCTCTGACAACTGTTAGGTTTTTTATATCATTCAAAAGAAATTGTTGTCTTGAGCTTAAATTTGAAAAATTATTTCAGTGTGATCATTTTTCGTAAAGTTATGAGGGTTTAAAGATTGCCATTTTGGCCATTTTGACCAATTTGGGACAATTAACGCGTGATATAATTCGCGCTATTAACGCGTAAGCGGGGATTTAATCCGTCTTATGATTCGTTCCAAATTAGTTGAACGAAGCTTATTTGCCATAATTCATTAGTTACAAGGAACGAAATCTCTCTTTTCGTACTTTATATGGCGTGTGGGGGGATGATTTTCATAAAAAATTTCAAATTTTAGAAAAAAAATTTTCATTTTATTTTATTTCATTTATCTTTTTAATGTTATTACTGCTGCTCCATAAATCTTTAAAGGCAGTCGGAACATTCAGGGCTTCGCCCTGATCCGAGCAGTCTTGTTTACTTTTCAGTTAGTCAGAGAAGACTGAGCCAGTTAATTAACCATAAGGACAAATAAAATAGCTCGAATAAAGAATCTCGAAAATAAATAGATTGAAATTAGTAACAAACTTTGAGTCAGAAAAACCCTTGTCTGAGAAAATATGATTTTTTCTCAAAATTGAGAAAAACCGTTTTCAATTTTTTGTTGAACTCACTCACAATTTTAACACACTTGGTTCACTAAAAAAAATTCGAGATGAGTCAAACTCGGGAGAGTAAAACACCCACGCCAAAATGCCTTCCCTTTACTGTTTAAAGCGGTCGGAATGCAAAAGCTATTCGTATTAGAGCAAAACCCTAAATGTTTTGACTATCATTAAATGTCTGCATTAACTAATTTTTTTTAATTGATGAAATTTGATTTAAGAATTTGATTTTTTTCTGGTTTTCATTTTGCCAACAATAAACTAACAGCGCATAGTTACTAATTGAACGAATTTTTTCAATCATGATTTAATAAAGCATTAAATTTCATTCAATCAAATTTGAGTACTATCTTTTCCGGTTTAATATTCTTTATATTCACGAACTTGGGCGGGGAAAAGAACTATTTTTGAAAATTTTGTAAGTATTCACTACGCAATCACATAGTAAAATTGTTCGAGTCCAAAACCGATAGATCAGTCCAAATAGTTTGCGTCAACCTTGTTTTTTTACTGTTTCTGAGCCGAATCAATTTGCCGCTCATGTGTATAAAACAATATATATCGCGTTAACTGTTCCTCGATGTAAAATTTCGAAGCCCGCTAACTTTTTGTCAAAAAACTCGTTGAAAAAATTCCGTTATAAATGCCCTGTTTATGAGTCAAAGTTTGTCTGAAGATGAAAGCAGCAAGCTCAATTTTCTGATTACTGTTGTCGAAAATCGTAACATTCACCAGAAGAAAAACAAAACATCAAAGAGCGGTGGGAGGCTGGATTATTGTTATGATGCGATGTCTTTTTTAAAATTGCCATGGTTTACAAATTGAAAAAAAAAACTTAACTTAACTTCGTATTGATTACAAAAAAAACAGCTGATAACAAAAACTGAGTATTGATTTTACAAACGTCAAGCTTTCTTCAATAGTCAGAACAATTACTAGAAAAAAACAAAAGCATCAAAAAGCAAAAAAAAGTCGGTAATTTCATCATGCGAACATAATTGTGTTTATAATTTTTCAAATTGTGATGATTATACATTGGGCAAAAAACTTAAATGAACCACGTATTGATTTCTAAAAACAGCTGAAGCTTTAATTGTTAATTTTGTATTCAAGCCAGCTAAATTGAAAGCCAGCGGCTACCTTTTCTCTTTTGCTTCACACTATTTTTGAGTTCCGACTTTTTTTCAATCAAATCAATCCAATTGATAAACAAAAGACCTTCTTAATGTACACACTTTACCGAACTGCTATTTTTTGAGATTGTCGCACTATTCAATTACGTTTATTGACAGTAAAATGCAGTTGTTTATTCTGACAGAAAAAAATAGAAAAAATTTTGAATCCACTCTAAGAAAAATCTGCCCCCTATTATGAAACATTCAGCGCATTTTATGAAAAAAGTTGTTTTGAAATAGTTTAAAATTCAAAAAAAGAGTCAAAATAACGCTTTTGAAATCATTTTCAGCTGTATTTGTTGTACCGGCAGGCTAAAAAATTGCTCTTTCCTCGCTTTTCTAGCGGTTTATTTTCAGTTTTTCCCCGTCAAAAATGGCTAAAATTGAACCTTCAAACAGCAAAACAACTTCAAACCTGGAAAAAACCGCGGAAGTTGAAAACTTTTTCATTCCTTCTGAAGAAAAGTCAGAAAAGTTCACGAAACGTGAAATGATTTTGATGAGCACCCAAGATTTGTTCAGTTCTGTGATGCCCCAATTGTCTCTGGGCTCAACTGGACTTATTTCCATTCTCTGGGCTCTGGCATATTTATTTTTCACCGGAATTTTTGCGTTCCAGACTTACGAAACAATGGTTGAGTACTTTTCTCATCCGGTAGTCGTGTCGATTACCCTGGAAAAGTCAGACCAGCCAGTGGACTTTCCGGCTGTGACTGTCTGCAACAACAATCCACTTCGGAGGTCAATGGTGTCGCGGATATCTTTCATGGAGGGACTGGCATTCCTCGACAGGTAAACTATTGTTAATTGGGGCTAGTGTATAATTGAATTTCTAAAAACGAAAAACGACCAGTTGCTATGCACTAACTTTGAATCTTTCGACTTTCGCAATTCACCCGGGTTATATTGCAATTCAAAATTTTATATCTTTTATATCATTGTATCATTAATGCAACTAATGCAAAAAACTATAAATGTATAAATCAGGAGCGGATCTAGGGTTTTTTTTGGGGGGGGGGGGGTGTCTCTTTTCTGGTACTTTTTGAAAACTTTTGACCCAAAAAGAAATCATTTTTTTGGCGCACTCCCACTCAAAATTAGAAAAAATTATGGGTCGGTCGGCCGAAAATAGGCGTCGGAAAATACTAACAAGAACGTACTCTTTGGGTGGTTAAGTGGGCAAAACCCTCAGGAAAAGCGCACACAACTCACACCAAAACAAGCCACTAACTATCACATATCAGCCAATTTTTAATCTTCACCATCTTTTCTTGCGGCGCGGAGAACCGAATCGTATTTGATTATGAAAAGCCAAAAATAATTAGTGCTTATTCTTTGAAGGTGAGGTAATATTTCGCAGCCCATAAAAATAACCCCGAAAAATTGCTTTTATTTTCTGACTAGGAGCTCAGCAGCATATGTCTGTTAAAAGCTGAACAGCTTGTATCTTGGTCCTTCCTTAATGAAAAAATTGTCTTTCCCTCGTGGATAAACTTGAAAGTTTTTTTTTCAATTCTCCTTTATTTCACAGATACGCGCTGGAAACGATGGAGATAGCACACGATCCAGGTTTCACAAGTACAGAGTGCGACCTGGCCAATGGGGACGACTTCCTGTGTGCCAATCAGGTGTGCATCAGCTCCCAGTGGGTCTGCAACAACAAAACCGAATGCGGAGATAGCTCCGATGAGTCGCCTGCTATCGATTGCGAAAATCGGACTGCAATTAACTCGTCAAAGGTAAGTACCAGATTGAACGAGAAATAATTTCTAAATGATCTTCTAAAAATTGTGAGCAAGTTTACTAATTGCAGTGTAAGAAGCGTCTTATCTTACTTCTCAATTGGGAAACATACATGCCTGTTTTTATCATGAAGTTATAGGTTTTTTTGTAAAATAAAATTAGTAAATGTTTACCTGCAACTCAGGCGAAGTCGCTGTTATAAGTCTTTTTTATCATAACAATTAATGGTTACCGACTCAACTTGAGAACAATTTTTGATCCATTTTTGTCAGAGACAAACGCTTTGAGCCTCTATTTTTGAGTATCGCAACCTATGATGAACATGCTGATTGACACCTAGATGTAAAAAAAATCACTCTTTGTGATTTCTAAAAGGAAAAACTATATGGAAACCTTCGTAATGCTAATCACTACAGTATATGTTCCCAGCAGCCCAAATGGCATTATCGAAAGAGCTGCAGCAGGCCATTAAACATTTTGAAAACCAAAATCAAAACATCAAATGACGCAGTCAATATAAAATAAAACAGGCTTCATGGATCAGTCTTAAAAATAATTATAATTGTTATCAGAGAGTAAATTTTGATTGAAATCAAGGTATTCTCAAAGGGATCATTTCGTAAATTGTTCACTGACTTGCATTTGTGGTAACTTTTACCCAAAACGCATTCGACATATATGGCATAGACTAAATGGATAAGATTGTTTAACTTCATCAGAATCAAATTACTTGAAAAATGTCAATCATTGTTTCAACTCAAATGGATGGTCGTTCAGCAAGGTCAGTATCGCATTCTACGTGTCGCTAGCACGAACAGTTCGTTCTACATGGTGGCTTTGGAACTACGCTGCTTGAGTTCAACATTTCGTGTTGAAAGCGAGATGAGTTTAGCCAGAGGTAGCTTTCTCATAGAGTAATTTCGGATAGGGTACACCGTCTGCTCGTCACGCTATCTTATTTTCGGCCGGATAGATTCGTGCAACTTCTTAGTCTAATACCAATCTTAATCTTACTCTGATATCTCCTAGTCTCAATAGATAAAGTGTACAGTAGTATTTACGATTTAGTTCTTGGAATTTATACAGAAGGAGAACAACTGTAGTCTAGGATTTATTCAAATTGTTCTGGTGCTGAAACTACAAGTAATTTCAGCACTACAAATAATTGTGTTATTTATGGAATATGATTGGTTAGTTAGTAATATTTTATAGGTATAGTTTTATCAATAATTTAGTTGGTTATAAATACTAGTTTAGAACTGGTTCCAGAGAACATGACTTCTCACACGCCTCAAATTCTATGAATATAGCCAAATTGATTTTTTGTCTAAAATAAACACACGCCAGTGTTTTTCTTCATCTAACGCGAGTTTTGATGCGTTAATAGCAATTGCTTGATAATGCAAAATGAATGAAAAAAGTTTGTGCTCAAGTTTCTATGGCATGTTTTAAACACTAGACTTCTCATTTTTCCACTTCAACGCATTGTTCGGATAAGTCGGAGTTTCCACTTGGTTGATTTCTTTGAGATTTGCACAGTTTTTGAAGTCATCGTTAAAAACGTGGTTAACTAAAGGCTTTGGTACTCTTGATCTAGCAAAAATTGCTGGCAAATAATTCTGGCCTTTGTAAAAACTTCAGTTTAGTCGATTTCTTCACCGAGAAAAACCTTGATGTTTCTTTGGAGATTATTTCATCCCGGTCCGTTCGATTTCGTTCACATATCTGATTCTTGTAATTTGAATCCTCTTTTCCCATTGATGATTTGTTCTTTTGGCAGACCTGAAATTATCTAAAATGGCGCGCCACATTTCATGACTATTCGTAGTGCTGTCTCTTTTCTGAAGCATTTTTCATATCAATGAAATTCGATTTAATGGTTTAAGTTTTTTGCCGATAAAATCCATTATAAATGATTATTTCCCATGAAACTCCAGTGTGGGATAGAACTAAGAAAATCTCATCGACGCGTTTGCTTTCCTTGAATCTGCTTATGATTAAGTATAGTTTTTAACCAGTAGCGGAAACAGAAGGAGCACTGCCTTTATCAACACGGATCGTTTTTATTTGATTTTACAGTTTAATTAATTTCTCTTATCATTTAGAGTTAAAATAACGGGCAATTGATAAAATCTAAATCATAACAAGACTGCTCGTATCAGGGCGAAGCCCTGAATGTTCCGACTGCCTTTTAAGGTTTATGGAGCTGTAATAACATTTAAAAATTCAATGAAATGAAACAAAATCAAAAAAAAAATTTCTAAAATTTGAATTTTTTTATGAAAATCATCCCCCCACACGCCACACAAAGTACAAAAGGATAGTTTTTGCTCTTTGTAACAAACCAATTATGGCACATAAGCTTCTTTTAACCAATTTGGAACGATTTCTAAGACGGATTAAATCTCCGCTTACGCGTTAATAGCGCGAAATATATCGCGCGTTAATTGTCCCAAATTGGCCAAAATGGCAATCTTTAAACCCCCGTAACTATACGAAAAATGATCACAGGTGAAATATCTTTTCAAATTTGAGCTCAGGACAACAATACTTTTTGAATGATGTAAAAAAATTTCGTGAAAAATGGCTAGTTAAAAAGTCGAAATTTGTCTGAAGAAAAAAAAAACCCACCCCGAGCACAAATATTCCGTTACTTTTGTATCAAAAGTCGGAACAACAAGACTACTCGTATCAGGGCGAAGCCCTGAATGTTCCGACTGCCTTTTAAGGTTTATGGAGCAGCAGTAAAAACATTAAAAAAATAAAATGAAATAAAAAAAAATGAAATTTTTTTCTAAAATTTGAAATTTTTTATGAAAATCATCTCCCCACACGCCATATAAAGTACAAAAAGAGAGATTTCGTTCCTTGTAACAAATCAATTATGGCAATTAAGCTTCTTTTAACCAATTTGGAACGATTTATAAGACGGATTAAATCTCCGGTTACGCGTTAATAGCGCGAATTATATCGCGCGTTAATTGTCCCAAATTGGTCAAAATGGCCATCTTTAAACCCTCATAACTTTACGAAAAATGATCACAGGTGAAATATCTTTTCACATTTAAGCTCAGGACAACAATACCTTTTGAGTAATATAAAAAAATTCCGTCAAAAATGGCTAGTTAAAAAGTGGAAATTTGTCTGAAGAAAAAAAGAACCCACCCCGAGCACAAATATTCAGTTACTTTCGTATCGAAAGTCGGAACAAAAATAAACTATTTTCATATCAGAGATTATTTATTAGACGTTTCTCAATTTACATAATTCTGATATGCAACGACATCAAAAAACCGATAGTCAAGTGATGCCTTAATTAAGCAGTTCATTTTCTAAAAAATTCTAAGACGTTTCAACTGTAAGGTAATAGAAGTTGTCCAAACCCTGCAACCTCATTTAAAAAAAGAACTAACATTAGACACTTGGAAAAATTAGGTAACTGGTAATATTTTATGCATATCGTTGCGATAACAAAATCTTTTGTATGTAAATTATTGGATTTTTTCTTGCATGATTATTTTTGTTGTTTCCTAAACGCAATTGTGTCTGTTTGTAATTTTGATTAGGTTTGTTTGGGAGACTACATTCTGTGTCCGGAGGAAACCACTTGTGCTACAGCTTGCGACGGCAACCTCGAATGTGTCGTATACCTCGGCTATGACGAGTCCCCACTGGCCGGATGCGAGGACTCCTGTCGGACTATTATTCCCGTGTCGGAAGTCGAGGAAGTACTGTCGTCTCCAAATTTCCCCGAGAAATACCCCGAGGGTCTCTTGTGTGAATACACACTCGAATCGAATTATTCTGATTACGTAATCAGTGTTAATTTCACTGTTTTCAACGTGGAAAACGACTGTGACTACGACTCCGTACGACTTCAAGACGGTTACGTAACCAACTCGACTAACTGGATTAAGTACAACAAGAAGACCCGTTTTTGTGGCAATTTGGAGGGCAATGACTTGCCGAATGTCACTTCGAGTAGCACTTCGCTTGTGATCTTTTTTAACACAGATATGATGGGAAATAAGCAAGGATGGAGTCTCACTTACCAAGCGGTTCCCGCGACTGCAAACGCTACTGGAGCTCGCCGAAAACGTCGGTCGGATCCCGCACCTACAGCCGACCCACCTTCAGATGGATCTGATAGTTACGATTTCAATTATGGGGACGGAAACTTTGGTGATGATTACATGAATGACATGTATGACATGTTTGAAGACTATGGCTTGCTTGGACCAGCTTCCTTTTCCAAAATAGAACAATATGATTGGTTGAAAGCGTTTGAAATTGCCAAAATGCCAGACTACTCCGACTTCAAATCTTTCGTGAAGTTCAAAACTAAAGAGATCATCGGAAACGGACACCAGAAAGAAGACTTCATTGTGCAGTGTGTGTTCGATGGTTTTGTTTGCAGTACCGACTTGTTCACGACTGTTCAAGATCAAGACCTGGGAAACTGTTTCGTATTCAACTCCGTAGTTGATGTAGCACAAGTAACCCAAGCTCCGAAACAGCCAATAAACACCACCAAAACGGGTTTCGCCAGCGGACTGAAGCTAACATTTTTCCTCGACAAAGACGAATACATCGGAATTCTTGGTCAAAATTCCGGTGCCAGAGTTTCCATTTCGAACCCAAAAGAGTTCCCGCCGACAAATTCCAAGGCTTTGTTCGTATCGTCCGGATCTAACACTATTATCTCGATGACCCAAGAAAAGATTAGCCGAGAGACCTACCCGTACTCGGATTGTCAGGAAAATTGGCCCGAAGAAATGAGAGTTTCCGACAGTGCGAAGCGATTCATGTACACTCAAGATCTGTGTCTAGTGATTTGTCAGAAAACAGCCATAGCCGAAGTTTGCAACTGCAGCGAAACTCCTGATTTCGAATTCAGTTCTGACCCTGAAATTGGTGCGAAGAGTGTGATTTACTGTGATCCATGGAATGACGCGGCAGCTTCGTGTGTTAACAATATTCAAGAGGACTTTTCCGAGAACAGACGAAGTTGCGAGTGTCCGCAGCCGTGTGAGGAACGAGTGCTGAACAAAGTGACCTCGATAACCGAGTGGCCGAGTGACATGTATGCGCCCTACTTTGTCTCTCTCCTGCAAAGAACCAAATCAAGAGCGGTAAAAACAACGATTATTTCAAATTTGTTGAAGCCTTTCTACTAATGGAAAAAAAAAACGAAGTATTTGTTTTTTTGTTTACAAAAAGCATCTGATTATTAGTTTTTTCTTTTTCTTGAAGCTATTGACAAAAAATGTTAATATTGTTTTTTTTTCATGTAATTTGTATAATAACAGTCGTCAAAAAGGTTCGGTTTAGGGCCGCTATATCAGAAATTGATAGTAAATCCGTCAATTTTTGTGGAATCCTCAAGCAAATAACACGTAGTGCAAAATTTGTCATCAAAATGAAATCTGCTACGTCCAAATCTAACAACGTTCAAAGCATAAGAATCATGATTTAAGAAGCTATTGTTTTCTGCAGGTGTTTAAATTTATGAAGCGGATTTTGGCATCAAGTGACAGCATGGACCAAGAACAGATGAGTGCGATGGTGAAGAAGAACTTCGCCAGAGTTGAGATCTACTTCGAGACCATGAACTTCCAGAGGTTCCAGGAGACTCCTAAATACAACCCCTCGACTCTCTTTGGAACCCTGGGGGGCAACATGGGTTTGTGGCTGGGATGGAGTGTTTTTGCAGTGTTCGAAATTCTCCAATGGGGCTACAGAGTCGCCGCAATTGCATTGTCTAGAAGCCCGTCTAAAAACCTATAATAAAGATATAAGTAAAGGCGTTCATACAATTCTGACAAATAGGACAGTTTAAAATTTGAATAATTAAGCCAAAAATACATAAACAATTCAGCTGGTTTTCCAACTGTATATAGGTTTGAAAAAAAAATGGACTAGGAGTTAACTCTCGATTCAACGTTGCCGCTTGGTCACTATGATATATTAACGTAAGATGTTCTAATTTTTGTTGCTAAATTATCTAGATTCGGCTTTGTTCACTTTTGGCCAAGTTTTCTGTTGATGAATTGCCTATATAGTTTTAGCAGAAATCCACTGAATTGTATTTGCCCGAATTATCTGGACGCGATAATCGATACATTGAGTGCAATTGAAGCATAATCAACAATTAATGATCACCAAATCCTCACATAAGTCGTCTTTCAATATTTAGTTTAGTTTGTAAATTTCATCACAAAAACAGTCGTGAATTCATTTGAAAACACAACAAACAGGTTAGTTGTAGAAAAAATCGTGATAAATTTGAAATATTACCCCACCCATAAAGAACTCAGAGTCACTTTAATATATTGATGTGTTGTTGATTTTGTTAGAAATTTAAATTTAGCTTGAGTATATTAAATTATTTTTCAAACATATTGATAATAAAAAGTCATAGATTGTTTTCATTTGACAATGCACACAATAAAATTTAGTTAAACGTTGATAAACGTAGTCAGACACTTATATAGGTAGCGATGAACTTTTTTCAAAGAAAAAATTGAAAATTTTTCACGCACAAATTTGATTTTTCGCGGATCGATTTTTTCTTTGCAAGTTCAGCTCAATTTTTTTGTTAAAAGGAAGGGAAACTTCACTATCGAGTAGCAAAGAGAAAAGCTCACGAAAAACATAATCGACTTCTAATTTCAAAAGTGGTGTTTAAATTTCAGATTTTCCAGCAAAAAAAAACTATATATTATTCCAATTTTCTCAAATTGGATTAAATCTATCAAAAATTCCCAATCATTAATTTTTCTTGAAATTCAAACAGCTTGAAGGCCATCTATTTTTTTTCCATTTTCTAAAGTTGAGATTTTTTCAAAAAATAAGTCAGTATTTTTTTTCTGTTTCCTTGCCTTTATTGACTCTATGGAATCTCGATCAATTTTTCCAATGATGTGTCACTCACTGTCTTAAATTTTCCGCCGAAAATAAATGTTCGCTTTTTTACCCGAGCCAATAAAAAGTTTCCACCTGTTTTTTTTTTCAAAAAGAAAACGCCTACAACGCAGAATCTTTTGTCAAAATCCATCTTTTTATATAAAAAATATATTTTTAAGCTTTTAGCATTCTTAAAAAAATTAGGAAACCTATTTGTTCGACCTAAAAAACGAGTGGAAAAAAGAAAAGGGCTTCAAAGTAGGAAAAAGTTTCGTATGTGAGTGAAGTCAAAATGTTCACAATTTTATAACACAGGCAAACGTCAAATGGGGTCGGTGATGTATCTTATGAAATTATTGAGAAAAAACGCTGTAAAATTTACGTTTTTGACCATTAAATGTTTTATTTTGAGTAACGACCGCTATTTTTACTAAAACTTAACTAGTTTTGAGTCAATCGATGTCAAAAAATAAAACTAAAATTAAACTTTTTTTGAAAGTGAACAGTTTGGTCTATATTTCGAATGGCTGGGTCCATGTTTTGACTATAATTGATCTATAATTTGACTGCGCTCGACCTATGCTTTGAAAATTTTGACTTTTTTTACTCTAAAAGATATTGATTAAGTTTAAATTAAAACTTTTGAAAAAAAAACAGGACTACCCGCATTTGATTAGGTTTAATTCAAATTTTTTGAAAGTAAAACAGGACTACCCGCATATGAATAAGTTTAAATTAGATTTTTCGAAAGTAAAACAGGACTACCCGCATATGAATAAGTTTAAATTAGATTTTCTGAAAGCAAAACAGAACTACCCGCATATGATTAAGTTTGTATTAAATTTTTTGAAAGTAAAACAAGACTACCCGCATATGAACAAGTTCAAACTAGATTTTTCGAAAGTAAACAGGACTACCCGCATATGAATAAGTTAAAAATAGATTTTTTGAAAGTAAAACAGAACTACCCGCATATGATTTCGTTTAAATTAAATTTTTTGAAAGTAGTACAGGACTACCCGCATATGAATAACTTTAAATTAGTTTTTTTGAAAGTAAAACAGGACTACCCGCATATGAATCAGTTTGAAATAAATTTTTTGAAAGTAAAACAGAACTACCCGCATATGAATAAGGTTAATTTAGATTTTTTGAAAGTAAAACAGGACTACCCGCAAAGGAATTAGTTTAAATTAGATTTTTTGAAAGTAAAACAAGACTACCCGCATATGATTAGGTTTAAATTAGATTTTTTGAAAGTAAAACATGACTACTGGCACATGAATAAGTTTAATTTAGATTTTTTGAAAGTAAAACAGGACTACCCGCATATGAATAAGCTTAAATCAGATTTTTTGAAAGTAAAACAGAACTACCCGCATATGATTAAGTTTGAATTAAATTTTTTAAAAGTAAAACAGGACTACCCACATATGAACAAGTTTAAATTAGATTTTTTGAAAGTAAACAGGACTACCCGCTACCCGCATATGATTAAGATTAAATCAGATTTTTGAAAGTAAAACAGGACTCTCTGCATATGAATATGTTTAAATTAAATTTTTTGAAAGTAAAACAGGACTACATGAATATGAATAAGTTTATTTTAGATTTTTTGAAAGTAAAACAGGACTACCCGCATATGAATAAAATTAAATTAGATTTTTTGAAAGTAAAACAGGACTACCTTCATATGATTAATTTTGAATTAAATTTTTTGAAAATAAAACAGGACTACTCGTATAAAGACAAAAAATCTGGGTGTTCAGACAACCCTTTAATTGAACTCAAACATGAATTTTGAATTTTAAACTTCTATGCTCATCCCATCAGGCAAAATCAAACAGCAAGTGGTAACGTTTGAGTCGTGAAGGGAAACATTTTGACCAGTTTTCTTGTCTCAAATCAAGTCAAGTTGGAATAAATTAGAGTGGGATGGGAGTCAATTCGTCTCGCTAAGGTGATTCGTTTTTAGTTTCAAGCGTCGTAGATGAAACAGAGAGCGCCAGCAAAAAAAAAGGTCAGCTTTTTGTCAAATTGGCAAATTTCAAACCCCTAAAGTTTTGTAAAGTTGGTTGCAAAAAAATATCTTTTTGAACGTGATCGCAGATACCTTCGATAGGTCAGAAAAATTAGTTCAAAACTATAAAATCAATCGGCGAAATTAGTCTGCATGAAAACCACTGCCCCGATTTCATTCTTTTCGAAACACTTGTAGGCAACTCGTTCAGTTTGTAGACAACTATAGTTTAGCGCTAGTGAACTCTCCTCATTTGAGTGATGCCAATCGCATCCAAAGTTTATATCAGAAAAGACTAAAATGTTTTTTAAAATTATATTGTAAAAAAAAAAAATAGGCAGTGATTCACTTACCTTTCGAATGCACTTGACTTGTGTTTTGACTATGATTGACCTATTTTTCATCGATCAAAATAAGTTTGATTTGATTGAGTTTAATCTATTTTTTGGCTCATACGACTCTGATTTTTGGCTCATAGGCTCAAGAGTTTAGCGACAGCTGATTATCAGTAGCTATTATGAGTTTTCGGTTCTGAAGGTAAGAACATAAGATGATTACCTTGACCCAAGAATAGTGGATTTAAGGAAAGGAAGATGCCCCGCCCCCATCAACATTTTGATCATTTATTTATCGGGGCGAAGATTTTATATCTGTAACTGAAAATGTAGCTGGAATTGTTTATTCTGGGAGACTAATTATGCACCTAAAACTGAATTGAGGTAGGCTATTTGTCATACTAAAAACCCACAAGCAGTTTATAAATCTTCTACCTTCCAATATTTATCAAAGTTGTCTTTACAAAATAATAAATACTTGTCTTATACAAGTAAGCTTCCTTCGACCAATTTAGAATGCTTTCTAAGACGGATTCAATCTCCGCTTACACGTTAACAGCGCAAAATATATCGCGCGTTATTGGTAATCTTTAAACCGCCATAACTTTACAAAAAATAATCACAGGTGAAATATCTTTTCAAATTTAAGCTCAAGACAACAATACCTTTCGAATGATATAAAAAAATCCCGTCAAAAATGGTCAATTCAAAAGTCGAAATTTGTCTGAAGAAAAAAAACCCACCCCGAGCACAAATATTCCGTTACTTTCGTATCGAAAGTCGGAACAATAAAAGGTAAGCTTAAGACAAGTCACGCCTTGATGATTTTGTTGTTGATGAAAATTAATCAAAGCAGCTGATAAAACTCAGCTTTAACTTTTTCGAATTGTTTGAGCTTTGAGATCTAAAAAGAACCAATGTCTGCTTGTAATTATTTTCCGCGATATTCACATTTAATTTTGTCCTTATCTAATCTTTTTGCAAATTCGTGTTGCATATACAGACTTTTAGTGACAAAATTTTACAAGCGCGAGTACGTTGATATTGCAAAAATGTTCCATATATCGAGTAGGTTTACAAAAAATTCTTTTATAACTCATTTTTTTCATACATAATTTTGACTGCATTTGTAAGAAACAAAGACGCTTGAAAATATCAATATTAAAAAAGCACAGAAGATCTCCTCCAATTTTAATATTGCCAATAAAAATGAAATCTTTAAAATTGATAAAAATTTCTGATATTAACCAAAAGTTTTTCTGAGCAGTAGTACCGTGCTGAGAGGAGAACCGATACCCTCATAATTTTTCTCGGCATTGTATTGTATTTTTTAATATTGTTTGAATCAAGACAAAAAAGGCTTTAATATGATTCATTGCTCGACCCATTCCAATGATTATTTGTGGTGCTTGGTTTTCCGTCAAAAAGAAAACAAAACAAAAAACTAAGACAGAAAAGCAAGTACAAAGTTTCTCCCCAGTTTCAATGGTCGGTAGAAAAACAAATAATATTCGAAAAAATACAACAAATGAAGGCTATTTTCCATTTTCCCCCACATTTAAACTTTAGCTTTGAAAAACTAATTGCACGTTGTCCTAATGTGATCAAATTTTGGATGCTGAACAAAATTACTATTGTGAACACATTTGTTTTTCATATCTTACATCACGCTTTGAGCCATAACAACATGCAAGAAAACTGAGAAAATGAAAAATTTGAAATGTTGGGTGGGGAGAAGAAAAGAGCCCAAATAAACAAATAAAAGTGGAGTCTTCATCTGATGCTTTTGATTTCATTGATAGAAAAATGATCAGCGAAACAGAAAGTGCATTAGAAAAATCATAAACTAAGAAATAGGTTCTGTAACTGTAGCCATTCAAAAACTCATCAATGCTTGCTAATGATCGTTACGAAAACGGAAACTGGCCTCTGCAAAGGCCGCCATTTGTTTTAAATTTATCGGATCTGATTTAAACAATCTTCCTGTTCGAAGTTATAAACATTCCTCATTCTTGAAGGTGTCTGATATATTCATAGAATGATCAAAACAGACCAGCTTTTTAAATGGAACCGATGAATTACAAGTGTTGGATTTTGGCTATTTTTCTTCTTTTCATAGCTGGTAAGGAACCATTTCAATTTTTTCCTGCATTTTACTGGGTAGTTTTTTGTACGAAACTATTTCGAGTTATTTTTTAGTCTTCACTTCTAAAGAATTTAATTCACTGCTCATTTTTTAACTTCATTTAATTTATTAAATTAACTTCTGGCCTCCTTCATTAAAAAACTATTATTACATTTTTTGGATTCTTTTACTGAAAATTCTGTTCCTTTTAGAGCCATTGTCTTCCTCCGATTCGGGAACGACGCCACACCACCAACACACAAGCCATACACAACATCATAGTGAGGTAGAACATTGTTTCAAAAAAATCTGATTTTTGTTTTTTTTTCTTCTTTACTGTATAAGATTCGGGCTGTAAATTGACATGGACGAAAATTTACCGAGTAACAAAAAAGTGATTAACAAAAAGTTTTAGCAAAGAATTCAAAGTAGTTTTGATTTGATGTCTGCATGACGATTACAATTTTCTGAAAAATGCGGTAGAACTTTGTCAAATTTTATCATTGGAACTTGCTATGCTTCCATGATAATTGAATCATGCTCAAATTGGACTATGCTTACGAAAGCTCGATAGCCAACATGCTCTGTTTAATGAGCGGAAGAGAACAGAATTGAACTAAATTTTAATAACTTTTAAAGGCGCTTGCAACCTTGTAACAAGGAAATTTTAAAAAAGCTCCCAATGACCTTTGTAAAGAGTCCTTTGTCAGTTGTCCAAAGAGCAATGGAAATAAATTCAAAAACTCAACTGAAAAGAAAAACAGAGCAACTCAAGAAATTAAAAGAAAACAAAAATTAAAAAGTTCAAAAAAGAAGACTTAGATTTAACTGTTTTTGCACAACAAGGAAAACATTCTGACCCATTGACTTTGAAAGAAGTTTCAAGTAACATGACTTCGTGTCAATTGTCGTTTAGTTTTACAACAAAAAGTTGTGCGATGAAAAAGATAGATAGGACAAATAAATCAGCAGAACCTATAGATTTGCCCGCCTGCGTAATTAAAACTGCAAAGTTTTTCAACCATGAACACTTAACTTTTCAATAAACCAGTGCATTAAAGAAATTTGTTTCCGATTTTTCTCTAAAAATTTCCCAATTCCGACAAAAAGGAGATCCACGAGAGGAAATTTACTGCAGGCTAATTTTGGTAGCGATTTCAATTTCTACTAAAATATTGCTAGAACTTTTGCTTGAACGTTTTCTCTGCATATCTAGAAAAAAATTGACCCACACTCAAATTTGCTTCGAAAAAAGTCGTCTTTTGACGCTTATAACATAGATTGAAGAAAAAACTATGGAGTTTTTAAGCAAAGCTTTATACCTTAGCTGTTTTTTTTAACCGTGCTGAAACATTTCAATCTGTTTCACTTCTAGTTTTTCTCAAACAGCCGAATTTATACGGATTTTTGACTCAAGCTCATTAACTACTGGCAAATTTTTCATCCGATAGTCTTTGTGTAGGATCCGATAGTTTTCATATTGTATGTCAATGATTTTAGGAGTAAATTGGGAAATCATGTTCAAGCCGCCCATGGCTCATGCTGATGACACATCTTTTCTTTTTGCGGAATTTTTTTTTGCTAATTTTGAAGTCCAACATACAAGATAAATTAAAATCTGTTTTGCTATACTCGTCCAAGAACGAACTCATTGTTAATGCAGACAAAACATATACAATCAGGTTTAACAAAAACTCATTTGGTTCTATATTTTTTCTCTAAAAAAAAAGAAACTAAAAAATTAAAAACTTAAGATTCAGCAAAAATTGCTAGCATTATATTGGACAAAAAATTGACTTTCCCGGACAAAATTTACAAATAAATTAGCAAAAAGGTGTGCGGATTTCGGTAGTTATAAATTTTACGGCATAAATTGCTATTAATGACCTGTTGTTGATATCCATAGTTTTATCCCCTCTTAATTCTAGTTGTTTTTTTTTAGTAGATGACAACAAAAAAATGTTGATTGTTTGCATCTTCAAATATAATGGAGTGTAAGAGTTTTCTTCTTGAGGAAAAAGATTGAAAGATGTCGTTATTTACTTTCAAAAAACAAAACACTTCCTAAAAATTTTTTGCTTGCCGAAAAATTTTGATCATTTCAGTGAAAAAATAATTTCTTGAACTGAGGAAATTAAGAAAAGAATCATGCAAAATCATAAAAAGTCGATAACCAATAGATCAGAAGAAGTGAATTTTGGACAGGTTTATAAAAAATGTGCCAAAAGACGGAATGGCTTACCTTGAATCCTGACATTGATTAAAAAGAAGTAAGAAACTGAAATTAATGAATATTTACTACATTTAATTGCCAGTTAAAAAAATACTGGATGTTTTAAATCATTTGTGTATCATGCAAAAACTTACGTATTTAGTTTTACATATATTTATTTTACATTTACCTTAAAGTTTGTTAATCATTCTAATATTATCTAGAACCCAGTCTGGTATGATTTAATCTTGTTTTTTGTCTTGTAAACTTACATCAAAGAGGATGTTTTTTTTTTCACCTACGGCTAATCATAACAAAACTACATGTTTGTCACAAAAGAAAAACAAACCACAATTGGAATAAAATACTTGTGACAGTTTGACACACAAGCAAATCTCCAATTTGCAAGCTCAAGTAACAAAAAAATGACAAAAGTGACCAGGATTGACAACAAATGGTAGTCATGCATCTCTAAAAATTTATCAAAAATTGGAAAACAAGCAGGAAAAGAAAAAATATTACGACAGTGGGGGATCGAACCCTTTTATCTGCTGCGTCATAGACAACATTATTTTAATATGATTTCAGCACCATAGTAGCAACCATTCAAACCACACTGGACACCACGAGGAGCATCATTATGACCATAGTCATGAGTCACACCATCACTCGATAGATGGAGACACACACAAACACGAAGATGATGTTGAACACGAGTCTCATCACAGCAGCGCCACACATCACGAGAGGAAAGGCAGAATTCAAGAAGGATTTTTTTCCGATGATGAAATGGAGAAGTTTTTTTAAGAATTGTATTTAATGATGGAGCCAGATACCAAAATTATCTATGATTTTGTTCAGATAAGTTGAATATTTTTGATCTGATCCCTCAAAAATGAGTCATTAGGTCCAAGCGTTGCTTGCATTGCGTTTTTACTAATCAATTTTGGGAAAATTTGATTTCCCAGATCATTTATTGTGAACCAGAATTTTTGCAAGATGCCAACTAAATGTTCACTGTCCTTTTTTTGTCCTCATCACGTGATGTGTCAGCAGAGGGGAGGGAGAAAAGGAGGGGGGAGGCCATCATAGTCATCACACGGGTATTCATTTGTTCATGCTCAACTGGGACTATGTCAAGTTTCCTCTCATGCTAACAGCTGTCATATGCACACTCGGCATATTCAAGGCAAGTTTCCTCATCCTAGTTGTTCCGACTTTCGATACGAAATTGACGGAATATTTGTGCTCGGGGTGGGTTTTTTTTTTTCTTCAGACAAATTTCGACTTTTTAACTAGCCATTTTTGACGGAATTTTTTTATATCATTCAAAAGGTATTGTTGTCCTGAGCTCAAATTTGAAAAGATATTTCACCTGTGATCTTTTTTCGTAAAGTTATGAGGGTTTAAAGATTGCCATTTTGGCCATTTTGACCAATTTGGGACAATTAACGCGCGATATAATTCGCGCTATTAACGCGTAAGCGGAGATTTAATCTGTCTTATAAATCGTTCCAAATTGGTTGAACGAAGCTTATTTGCCATAATTGATTTGTTACAAGGAACGAAATCTCTCTTTTTGTACTTTATATGGCGTGTGGGGGGATGATTTTCATAAAAATTTTCAAATTTTAGAAAAAAAATTTTTTCATTTTATTTTATTTCATTTAATTTTTTTATGTTATTACTGCTGCTCCATAAAACTTAAAAGGCAGTCGGAACATTCAGGGCTTCGCCCTGATATGAGCAGTCTTGTTTAGTTTTATAATACATAGTATAATAATCGAGTGTTAAGCACAAATATTACTTTTATTTATGAATTGTTACTTATTTACTCGAGAAAGCATCAAAAGACATTGCTGCCTGTCGAGTTTTAAATGGCTTTCCTAAGTTTGATAGGAAAAAATGCTCCTTTGACAATTAAATAAGACATACTTTGAGACAGGGAAGGGGGTGGACGCCCTTTTCAGGATTCAACCCCCCCCATGACAGCCTTTTTGTTCTGTTTTTGCATTTTATATGACATATGACTACCCCATAACCTTCTTTCAAAGGCGCCCGTATATTATTTTGGCATCCATTGCTCAGAAAATTGATTTGGTCGGCTTACATAAAAATATTGAAAATGTTTTCAAAATCTCCGCTCCTCTACATAATCCTAGATTCGCCCCTGATCTAGCTGACTGAACTTGTCCACCTTTCAAAAGACAAATAAACATGCTATTGTTTTTGTTTACTAATTTGAATCAATTTTTTTATACAAGAAATTACCATATTAAATGCCACCATTATAATATTATTACTTATAATATTATGCCACCATTATAATATTTGTTGTCTTTTTCTAGCAGATTTTCAGCAAAAACTCTTGTCCCAATTGCTTTTTTACTATGACTCTCGAATATGATCAAGCTCTAGTTTTTTGTTCAGATCCTTTAATTACACAACACAGAAAAAAGTTCACATTTCACACTATTTTGAAAAAAAATTGTATTTTAAAAACTACGGTCGGACAATTCTGAGCTACTTGCACAGTAACCGGCTATCCTTGTTGTATTTTTAACTATCGTGAACGTCAAATTATAGCACAAAATAGGACCCGTGGATACATCACTCAATTGCAAACACGTTTTTATCTTTATATCCAACTTCGTAAAATATAAGATTACCCTGTAAAGTTGATGTTTTTTTGGTGTGGGGGGGGGATAAGAGCTTGAATTTTAATTGACTGACTGGTTTTTAAAGTCAATAACCATCGTCTAACCCCCACCCTCACGTTTTATATTGTTTCCATAATTGTCTTGCATATTATTATGGCTAAATGGGTGATGTTACGATGTAAGTTTTAAAGAACAAAAATGATCACAATAGTTCATTTTTTTCAGCATGCTTGCAATTTCCTGGCAATATGACAATTTTAAAATGGTTTTTGTTCCGATCATTGAAAATGGGGAGGAATTTTTTGTTCGGGTGTGTTTTAGTTTTTTTTATTTTGCACGCAAAATCAGCAACGACAATTAATCATCGGACAGAGTTGAACGATATATCATATTAAAGCCCTTTCAGTAGTAATTCATACGACATTGAAAATTTTCAAAAACATTTTCACAGTTTTGCCGGTTGAAAATTTTTGATTTTTGGTCTAAGTTCGAGCTAATTAGTAAAGTAGTTAGTAACTGCAATAGCTTATTTAAGCTTAATTTAAGACGTGAAAAATTAGTTTTACTCAGTAAAAGTGGTTTTTGGATTTTTTAGCGCAATTTTGGAAATCAAAAACTTGAAAACTTTACAAAAACTGTTTTCCAATTGACCTATTTTACTATGACTCTCAAATATGCCTAAGTTTATTTTTTCGTTCAGATTTTTTTGTCGCAACATGCAGAAAAAAGCGACACCAATTTGAGAAAATATTTTTGTATTTTTTTAAGACTGTGTTCGGAACATTCTTCATTGTTCAAATTTGATTTTCATACGTGGGGGGAAAGTGGAGAAGAGCACCTTGATTTCCAGGTTGGCTTCCACCACACTGGCATCCTGGCACGAGTGATCCCGGAGTCGTGTCTGCTGATTATAGTGGGACTCCTAGTCGGCACTCTGGTCTATCTGACCAACTTCCAACTCAACATCCAGTTCACCCCTCCCACCTTCTTCCTCTACCTCCTCCCCCCAATCATGCTGGAGTCTGCATTCTCCCTCCACGACAGGGCAGTCTACGAGAACTTAGGCACAGATCTTACTTGAAGCTCCCCACCACAAAAGCAATTAACTTCATTTTTTAACAAATTATAAAACTACCGCAAAAACATACACTTTTTTCATGACAAAAAAAGTATTAGTTTTCTCACAAATTATAAAACTAGTGCAGACTACGTACAATTTTTGTTTATATAACCGTTTTTTGGTAGTAGTTTTGAGCAACTTGATTTATCTCTACTTTGTTGTATAGCCATAGTTTAACCCCTTTTGCTCCTGATTTTAAATTTGATCAATTTGCTTGGACTATTTGCTGCTAAATGTTGTTTCTGTTGTGAATTTCATTCAGTGTAATTGGTTTGGTTTGAGTGGGTAGCTTTAACTTCAATTGATCTAAGCTTAGGCACGATCCTTCTTTACGCCGTGCTCGGAACCATTATCAACTGCTTCACAATCGGAACTGTCTTGTTCGGAATGTCACAACTCGGCTTGTTCTCGGCCGAAGTGTTCGCCGACTTGACTCTTTCTCGTTCGTTTTTGTTCTCGGCTCTTATTTCGGCCGTGGATCCAGTCGCTGTTTTGGCAATTTTTGCCGAAATTGGAGTCAACCCAGTTCTATATTTTCTAGTTTTCGGAGAATCACTTCTGAATGATGCAGTTACAGTTGTATTATACAGAATGATGGCTGCTTTTACTGAAATGGAAACAATTACCTTCGTCGAAATTCTAAAAGGCATTACTTCATTTTTCATCGTAAGTTTGGGCGGCGTTTTTGTCGGGTTAATTTATGGTATTATAACTGCTTTCCTAACACGAATTACAACACACGTTAGGGTTGTCGAACCCTTGGCTGTTTTGTTTCTGGCATACGCGTCTTACTTAACGGCAGAACTTTTCGAGTTTTCGGGAATTATTGCAATAATTGCATGCGGAGTTTTACAAGCTCATTACTCGTTTGCGAACATTTCGAACGATTCCGAAACTACTGTTGTCAACTTCTGCAAAATGTTGGCGTCAATTTGCGACTGCATAATTTTTTTGTTTCTTGGAATTGAAACCATATCTGAATCGCATGTTATAGATGTCGGATTTATAGTTCTATCCATTATTTGCTGTTTGCTTTTCCGATTTCTCAGCGTAGTCGTGTTGACTTCGTTAGCCAATAGGAAGCGACTACGAATCGTGGATTACGAGGAGCAGTTTATAATGGGCTATGGAGGTTTACGGGGTGCAGTTTGCTTCTCGTTAGTAATTCTTATAACCGAAGAACAAGTTCCACACGAGCTAAAAAGTCTGTTTATTACTACTACAATTGTAGTGATTTTCTTCACTGTTTTTGTACAAGGAATTACAATGAAACCGTTTGTGAAATGGCTCAAAATTGAAACATTAAACGTGCAAGATCAAACGATAAATGAAGAACTTAATAGCAACTTGTTGGACCATGTATTGGAAGGTGTCGAGGTCATTTTGGGTCAAATGGGTTCGAATATCATCAGAAGTAAGATTGAACAAATTGATGAATATGTGATTAAAAAGTTTCTTCAGAACAAGATCGAGTCTAAACACGGAGTAATTATGAAGGCATACCAGGGAATTATGCTAAAAGAACACCAAGCTACTGTAACTGCAGCTAAAGGTCAGTTAGATTCAAGTTGTTTTCAAAAAAGACCGAGTTTTTCTATCCATTTTGCAATTGGATGCAGAATTTGAGGCGATAAGTACAATTAAGTTTAGTTATCTATTAGTTATGTTGTTTGCACGTGTTGGCGGAAGAAAATAGTGCTTTGACTTAATATTTTGATGAAATATATAATTTTTTAATGAAAATTTTGATTAATTTTTTCTCAACTTATTTAGTTTTGGGTTGTTTTAAAGTTTGCATAACTTGAACAAAAATTGACTTTTCAGAAAAATAAACACCTGCGGACTTGTTCCATTTTACAATAAAAAGGATTTTCTATTTATTCAATGGTTGCGAAATTGAATAATGAATGGACCTTTTAAAAAAAACTTCCCAAAAAATGATCAAAATTTTTTGATGTTTTTTTTTCAGGAGGCGAAGTTACTGGCGAGTACGAAAGAGTGATGTTCCGAGACACAGACGAAACCACATCTGCAGAACAGAAACCTCCGTCCATGTTCGAGGCTCTATTCGAGCGAACAGCATTTGAAGACGAAGTGAAACGAAGGCAGAGTGCACCGTCTCGTGTCGTGTCGGAGAGAGCTAAGGTCAGAATAGACGTGCCCATCAACAGAAAAGTGAGTGAAAATAAAAAGCATGAACCAATCATAGCATTGAAAAATCGATCAAAAAAACGAACCCAGCAAAATTTGAACCTTCGAACAAATAGTTTCTATATTCTTGTGTTTTGATCGAGTTTCTCTTGTCTAAAAATCAAAATTTCAGATTTTTTCAGATATTTTCCACTCAAAGAAAATAATTTTTGAGAAATCAATTCTAGGTGATATGTTACAATAGGTGGTAATTTTGAGTATAGTGCATGTATTAAATTTCACAACTAAAATGCATTATATAGTCTTTTCATTTTCAATCATTGTCATTTCATTTTCAATAGTTTTTCTAAATAAATTACTCTGCCAAATGAAATTATATTCAAAAAATCAAATTTTACACTTCTTTTGCCGAAAAAATTGGCTTTTGAAAAAATTATAATTAATGTGCGAAGTATAACAAAAAGCGATCCAGCTATTCAAATTGAACCTACCACCTATTGTTAAAGTAAAACGAGTTAAAGTAAAAAAAATTAAGGTAGAATTTACCCTAACATTACCTTAACTTTACCTTAAAAAATTGTTAGGGTAAAATTTACCTTAACTGAATTAAGGTAATTTACCTTAACTTAACCTTAATTTTACTAAAAAAGTTTAGGAATGCATTTAACTAAACGGGAATAAGGTATTTTAACGTCGTGCAAATTTACCTTAATTGTTAAGGTGTTTTTAGGTATTTTTTAAGGTAAATTTACCTTATCTTTTTTTGAGTGTAATATATCACCCAATTCTACACCCTGTCCCAAAACAAGCTTTTGCCGCTAAAAAAAAGAATGTTTTTGTATTTTATATCTAACTTGTAGTTAACGAAAACGCGTCACGTAATTCGATTTGTTTTCCCAAAGATTTCCCGAATCCAACACGAAAAGTGGTACGTTGATGACAAAGACATCAAATCGGCTTTTGAGACGCTTAAAAAGTCGAGAACGAGCAACATGCGAACGTGTAAATTCGATTCCCGAGAAAGTATTTGTGCCGAAGGGGGGAAACTGGAACACCAGTTGCAGGCCATGCATAAACGAAGACAAAAAGCGATTACTGTTTATATAAACAAACAAGCGAAGGCAAGTGGAAACACGACTCCAAAGTCTATCTTGTCGCGAAGTTCGGTCGTGAATGAAACTACTAATTCGGGGTCAAGTCAAAACAACGGGCAATTCCATAAATAATCGAGTTTCAAGCACCAAAGATTCAAATAACCAAAATGTTAAGCATGGTATGCTGGTGATGGGTTGACGCATAGTTAATGTTGCAGACAAAACAACTTCACTAATTTTCATATAATTCTCCTAATCAAGAGACTCTATATTAAATTATGGTTTAACTAACAATTTAATTTAATTTCACTAATCTTTACAAGCATCCAAGAGATGTAATCATTTAAAGCGACAGATCTAGGGAAACTTTTAGAAAAAGTTTCTAGCAATTTGTCAATTTTTCTGACACAGACAAAACAGTTTCCGCGAAAAAAATGAAATAAAAAAACACTAAATCAAAAAAATTAACTGCCAAAAATTTCATGGGCAATGAGAAAAAGTGTGGTAAGATTTGCCTCAAATTTCACATTATATATAGAATCGATGGCGTCAAAAGAACTTTAAAATACCTATCGGACGAAAAAATCTTTTTACTTCAATCTTTTCGTACACAAACACTCTATCCTTTAACAGAAAGTCGTAACAATACTAAATTTGCAACATCTCAATACTCTTGCAAAATTTTTCCAAACTCTTTTTGTGATCACTCATAAGATTCTGATCAATTATACGGTTTTATTCATCAAGGACAACTTAAACAAGACTGCTCGTATCATGGCAAATCTTTGAATGTTCCGTCTGCCTTTTAAGCTCTATAAAAAATTTCGCTATTTCTCTTCAAAAAATTGATAAAATGTTCAAACAATAACACATTTTTGAGACATTTTTTTTTCAAAACCATTCCCTCACATGCATTTTAAAGTACAAAGTGATATAGTTGGCATATAGCAAAGTATTAAATAGCCCAAATAGCATGCTTCAGTTCAACTTGAAACGATTGGTAAGACCGATTAAAACTCCGCTTACGCGTTATTAGCACGAAATATATCGCGCATTTTTAGTCCCAAATTGCCTGTTTTTAGGCCTCCATAACTTAAGAAAAAATGAACACAGGTAAAATATCTGTGAAAAATTGAACTCAATACAACAATACTTTTTGGATGGTATAACAAATTCCGTCAAAATGCTAGCTAAAAAGTCGAAAATTGACTGTAGAAAAAACCACCTCGAGCACAAATATTCCGTCACTTTCTTTACAAAACGGAATAATAATGCAGACGTTCAATTTATCAGTGTAAAGGAATCCCAAACAAATAACGTTCTGAATTTGCTTTAAAAATTTATTCATATATTGATTTCTAGATGCAAAACTGCCCTTTAGGAGCACGTAAAACACTGAAAGAAAAACAACAATGGAAAACAGCAGCATGAGAAACCAGACTCCTTATTCTCGACTTTTTTCCTCAGTTTCCAACAAAACTTGGTTTATAAAAATTCAATGATGGGGGAAAGTTGAAAAAGAGCCACATTCTCTGTTGCACTATAAAATATGAGACCATGTTGTTGCAGATTGCAACGCATTTTAATTTACTGATACAGTTAAATTAATTTATGAACTTTTTTTTAGCAAAATCTCCTAAGATAGTACATACCAAAACTTAGGAAAAAAAACAAGCTTTTTTAGGATCAATTGAGCAATTTACTCATATTCCCGCGTGGAGGGGATTAGCTTGAAGTATCTTTAAAACCACCTGAAATTATTATGAAAGAGATTAAATTTTGAGACAGATTTTTCAACGAAAGTGGAACAACAAAATTCACCTGATAAAAACTCAAAAAATATTTTTATATTCAAAAATTGACTGAAATTGATTTATAAAATGGCTCTTTTTTACTTCCTCCACCTTTAAATTTCAGTTTTGAGAAGCAACGTTATTAATGTCATAATGCAATGAAACAGATGTGAATAGATCTTTCGTCATATTTCACATCGAAACATATACGCTTTAAGCCGTTTGAAACAAATACAAAAATCAAGGAGAAGGGAAAAAACTACATTACTAAGCAGCAGAAAATATGTTTTGGTATTCAGATACAAAGTTAGATCACCAACCAATGCAACTAAGCTTCCTCGAGGCAATAGTTGCCAGCTAAAAAAATCGATTTTTTCCAAATTGTGTTCTTGGCGCTCATATAAACTTAACTCCATTCGGTCTCTAGCTTGCGTGCTCGGAGCAGATGAATCATCTGCCTGCATTTGATAATATGATTTCTAGCGTTTTACCGCTTTTGTTTGGGGGTAGTAGTTCAATTGGTTTTTACCGGGGATGGAGATTACTAAACTGATGCGCTTTTTATTCTTGATAAAACAACAGCGAAACAACAGCTAGGAAAATGTAATGAAAAAACTAAAAAAACTCATAAATTTTCATAACAAAATTTTTTAAAGCCTGGTAACTATTTAAAAATAGAGACGATTTTCTCATTGAAACGTTCTTGATACTATCATCAACATTTGAGAAAATTGAATCAAAATATGCTTTTAAACACTGCTCCGGAATTAAAACATATAACTTTTCGAAATAAATATACAGCTACGGTTTTTGCATCGTTCGCATTTTAGTAAGTTGACAACATTTTTCCGTCCTTTGCGCAAATAAACTTGATATAAAAATGAAAATCAATTTTCAAAACTCCAAACAATTTTTTCACCGTAGAAACAAAATGTCAAATTTTGTGATTGATAAACAAAAAAAGAAAACAAACAAACAAAATTAATGGCTAAAAATATACTTAGTTAATTATCAGTAACCACGACAGTTGCAATCAGCAACCCTAAAGCAACAAAATCAGTATTTAAAGTAAATCAGAACAGTATTAGGCATGCAAAAAGCTAAAAGGCGCACTTTTACAAAAATTAGTTTGGTACGAAAAAAAAGCAAATTTTCATCAACCAAACAATTTTTGAGCGTAAAACAAATTTCAAATTTTGTGATTGATAAACAAAAAATAAAAAAAAAATCAAACAAAAATAATTGCTGAAAATTACTTAGTTCATTATCAGCAGCAAAGCCAGTCGCAATCAGCAACCCTTATCAACAAATACAAGACTTCAAGTAAATCGGAACATCATTAAGCATGCAAAAAGATGCATTTTTAGGAAATTAGCTAGGTTATAAAGTTTTGTGAGTCAAAGACTATTTAAATGAAAGCACGCATTGACCTCAGCAGTCTAAATCAATACCCTAACAACATTGTTATCCTTAGGGTATTTTTGAACATGTAAGTTTTGGTTGAGATTTGTTGTTAAAAATTTCAACTTTACGTAAATTCTCAGCTGCTAAGTTGTTTGTTGAAAAAACGACAAAAACTGACTTCAAATCCTTATCTTCAAAAATTTTGAAATTTTCAAAACAAATATCAGCAGGAGACGACTGCTTCCCACTCAACAATCACTCGCCACCTATTTTATCATTTTTAAAATACAAAAACCAGCCAAGGTTTTGAAAAAAAACAACCAAAAGAAAACTGTAATTTTTTTAAAACCGTCTTTTTCTCGAGATTCGAAAAAAGTTTAATTTAAAAGTTTGAAAGCCAAATTTTTTTAAAATTTTATTATTAGATCACTTGCAATTTTTTTAAACCTTTTTTTGAACATAAAAACCAGCCGAGAGTAAGTAAAAAACAGCCGAAGGAAAACAAAAACATCTTCCTCTTGACCTTCAAAAAAAGTTTACAGCCCTAAAACTGTTTGAGAATTTTCTAAGCCTGGATTTTTTCTTAACAATCCTAACATAAAAGGAACAAAACAGTAGCAAAATGTTTTTTTTAAAAACTGAGCTGTAGATTTAGAAAAACAAAATTCTCTCGAAATTACGACTCAACAACGTTTTTTTCCCAGCTAGTCCATTTTTTTATCCGAGAGCTTATTTTCTTTCTTTTGAGAAGTGGTCATAGAACACAGAGGCGAAGCGGAGCTTTGCACCACTTGCGATACAAAACAACATAAAAAACGTACATGCGATTGCAAAAAGTGGACTTCGCTCAGAATCTTAGTAGTTTCTCTACTAAAACAAGTCAAAAGTGTTAAAGATAATCAATTTTCCCAAGGAGGTAAGATTTCCCTTGCAAAAAATTAACGAATTGTCGCTTTGCAAAAGCAAATTTTGCAACCATATTTTTTCATTTGAAATTTTCATCTCAGATTTCCTTGTAAAGCTTAGGAAAATTCAAAAAATGTCTAAAAAATGTTTAAAATATCTAAAAAACGGTCAAAAAACATTCCAAAATTCCCAATTTTTTCTACAAAAAGCAAATTTTGGCCTCTCAGGCAGAGAAAATTCCAAATACCGGGTTACTCGATTGATCACAAGCTGATAACTGGCGCGGTAGTTTTCGCGAAAGTCAAAAAAATTCCAAAAAACTGTCAGAGTTTCAAAAATTAGACTTATTTGAAGGCCATAGTTTTTTCTCAACAGACTGGGTGTAGCCAATTGTAAACATAATAGTTTCAATTAAACCTATCATATCAGATTCGGCCGGATAGTTACCGAGAAAAGTTCTAAAAACGGTCAACGGATCAAAAATATGACAATTCCGAGAATCATGGCTTTTTGTGCAAAAACATAGAGCGTAGCCCCTTACGCAGAAGCGATTCGCGCAAACTGTAATTTTGGTTGAAGTCAAAATGTCAGATTTGGAAGGGTAGTTAATGAGAGAAAAAAAACAAAAACTTAACAAAAAACGGTCAAAAAATCAAAAGTTCCGAGGGCAATAATTTTTGGTGTCAGAAAAAATTGGGCGAAGTCGCATAACCGAATGAGCTTACCACAATCCGTTCTTTCAGTTTAACCAAAAATCTAAGCTATAGCAGGGAAATTTTTGAGGAAGTCAACAAGTTCAAGAAACAGTCAAAAATGCAAAAACGTGACTTTCCCGTTATCTCCATTGAACCCTTAATATCAGGCTTGAGAGGTTAGTTTTCGAGACAAGTCAAACAGATTCACAGAACGGTCAACAAAAAAAAAGTTTGACTGTACCGAGTGCCATAATTCTTTTTGTTCAAAAACATTTTGTACGTATCCGCTTATGCAGGGGAACAAAACACTTCTACTTATTGAAACCAAAAATTCAAATTTGAGAAAACTAAGAAAATTAAAAACATGGATGGAATAATCCCCCACAAAACTGTGTGTCAAATACTCCCCCCACAACCTTTTTCGAAGGCTTTAGATAGAGGCGTCATTTGAAAAGAGACTCTAGAGGATTAGGCAGGCTCACAGGGGAGAAATTTCATACCCCTTTTTGGAAATCAGTTGAAACTTTTGAGAAAAACTAAAACTTTCCAAATAAATTTGAAAATAATTTTCCATAACCAAAAAAAAGAAAGAAACCGACTTTTAAACATACAACGAATTTGAAAAGTGCGCAGGTGAGTGTCAAAATTGTGTTTCCCTTGTTACGACACAAAACTAGGTCGTTAAGCCGATAAAAAATAGGCCGAAATAATTTGGACCGAGGAATTTTTTTTAGCGAAACAAAAAATCCAAGAAGAAAATACGAAGTCAAGGACAGTAAAATTACATGTTATATGAGTAAATCAAACACTAAAATTCAGTTATCAAACCAACAAAAAATTTATTCCATCGTAAAGTTGAGTATCCTCATTTTGTACTTTTATCCAAACGTTTTTGTTTTGATGATAGCTTTCTAAGAAAATATTAACCTTGAGGCTTCAAATTTGTAGCTTGAATTTTACTGAGATGAATGTATTCGCTTTCATTGAGAATTATGCAGTTTTTTGGTTAACTTTGAACACTCGACTCATATTTGCTGTAAGCAGTTTTCAAACATTCGGACTCTCCATCATAAAGAACTCCCCCTGCGTGGACACCTTTGCTGTTTTTTTTTCAGAGAATTAATAAAAAACCGCAAGATTTTATAACAATGATTGTCATTTCGTGCATTAAAGCTGAATATGAAGAAGGATACAAGGATAGCCGGCGGTTACTGTGCATGCAGCACAGAATGTTCCGACCATAGTCTTTAAAAAAATCTACCAAAAAATTTTTTTTTTCTTAAATATTAATGTAGCTTTTTCTGCGTGGTGTGATAAAAAGATCTGAAATAAAATTACAGTGTAGGTATATTCGCCAGTCATAGTAAAATGTGCAAACCGGACAACAGTTTTTCAAAAACAACTAGAAAAATAAAATGAAAAAAATTTAAAAAAAAATTCAAATTTTAAATTTTTTTTGCAAAATTATTTTGATTTTTTGAAATTTTCGATCACTAAAGTGGCACGAAAATATCCAAAAACTAATGTTACTAGGGTAAAACTAATATTTAACATATTTCGGCTATTGTAAACGGCCTAAATTAAACATAAATAGCTGCTCGCTGGCTTTCGTCGCTCGAAATAACCCCTGAAATAAGAGGACAAATCAAAAATTTCCAACCGGTTTTTCTTGACACTAAAAAAAAACGTAATGGAAAACTTTCAATGTGGTTCGAATCATGACTGAAAGGGCTTTAATATGATATATCTTTCAACCCAGTCCGATGATTATTTGTGGTAGCTGGTTTTGCGAGAAAACAAAAATAAAAAAAAAATAAAATAATAAACACACGAAGACAAAGATGCTCCCCATTTTCAATGATCGGAACAAAAAAACACAAAAACAAATTACCAAGAAACGAACCAAACAAATTTTACCGATGTACCTTTTAGGTAATTTTTTGGATTAACATTAGCATTTTTAATGGTTTGGCGAAAAAAACAATTCCTCAACTTCAAGCTGTATGATTGAAAGCCCCAATTTTGCTATTGAAAGATTTGCACTAAAGACATTGTAGGAGAAACAAAAATTTCACGTGTGCGATGAGTGTTTGATCACGAAATTTACTTTCTAACGAGCAAACGGAATACTTTTAACCAAGAAATTAGGCTGAACCAAATAGTTACAAATACAAACGGAAAAAGCACTTCAAAGAAAATGTTTTAAGAAAAGTATTTTAAATTTAGATTTAGGCACATCAAATAGTTACTAGCGATGATGATGCTTATAGTTACCTTGTAGTAAAAAAATTTGACTCAATTTCTTCTGCTAAAATTTTTTCGAATAGTTTTAATCAGTTAATTTTTTTATGTTGGGACATGACTAAGTTTTGAAAGATTGATTTTGTTTCAGCAAGTGATCATGTACTTATTTATTTGAATAAATTGCTTGTATGTGTTCCTTGTAATCTCTAGTTAAGTGAAACTACCTTTTTATTCTGTGTGACTATGTTTCAGATTTATAATTTCTAATCGACTATTTGACCTCCTTGACCAGGAATTCCTGGTCCAGCAATGATAGTGTTTTCAGGACTGATCCAAACATAAACCTTGACTCGGGCCGATAAAATGAAAAAACAAACCTCTTCGATGTGTAAAAAGTTTAATTCAGAACTCATATAGTAATTAATCGTTAAGCATTTTAATTTTGTCTCACTATTAAGCCGTATGATAGCAATTTTCCTAAGGGTGCATACATGTTTAAAAGCTTTAGACTGAAATTCATAGTTTATGAATACTAACGAATCATGTTAGTGCCCCAAAATTGAAATTTCAACGATCGTTGAAGTTTTGATTAAATTATAATATTTTGGTTCAATTAACATGATCCGAGCTGAATTATTCAAATTCAATGTTTTTTGTCGCATCAAAAAGTAGTTTGTAGTTTTTTTCTGGTATAAACAATAAAATATTACAACTGGACTCCAGTTTGCAAATGTCCATTGGGCGAGCTTCCATTTGAGACTTGAAGCGAAGTCGTGTTAACTGTAGTCGTCACACTATTCGACACGAACTTTTTCATCACGACTGACTCGGTCTTGTTGGAACTTCGGTTCTGGGTCCCCCATTTAGTCTTGACAACTAAGTTGGTGTCGAAGCGGGCCTCCCCGTAGTGGTTTCGGGCGATGAGGGTGATCAGGCCGGAGTCTGTCGGCTTGACCTTGAGGATCTCAAGGCGGTGGATTCCGTCGTACCACACTTTCATCCGGTTGCTCTGGAGCAAAAAATTTCGAATACAAAATCTGAGGATATTTCATTTATCGAAAAGCACCAATGTTTATAGAAAAAATACAAATTAGTTCAATTACTAGACAGCAAAGCCATTTTTTATAGAAGAAGCTCGCAATTACGAACAGTTAAAAAAACACAATTCCAGAAGATCCAGAAAAGCGTGCGATGTGCATCAAATAATCATTAGAGAATAAAATCAATTTTTTTCTTACAAAATCAAAAATTAAATTAATTGGATTCTTTGGCTCTTTTCCAGTTTCTCCCCCCTTAATTTTTTTTTCTAAAACTCAATATATTTATATATATTTATATATATAAGCCTATTTGAATTTACTTTTCATGTTATAAACTGCATCAAAACGTGTCATCGTGAACAGATTTATACATTTCTTGCCTGCAAAATACCGTGTGAACAATTTTTGAACAGCTTTGTTTCGTAATTTTACGAGGGGGGTGCCAATAAACTGGAAAAGAGTCGATGATT